TGAGCACTTGGAGGTGTGGACACCTTAGAATGCTTGTTCAACACAAGGTCCTTAACCAGCACTTTTTCTCCAAGGCTTTCACAAACGAGAGATTTAGCTGGGTTCCAGGTGTGTCTCGAAAAACCAAATTAGTTTGCAGATGAGTGTATATTCGCTGATTCCGTGCAATTTGGTTTCAAGCAGAACATAAGGTTGACGGAAACCCGCGGACTGCGCCTATCTGATGAGCTCCAAAAGGGCGAGACCGGTCGTGGGCTGTCGACGGATTTTCAGCAACCTTATGAGTAGTACATTATTAGATAAACTTTATGGCTGCACGACAGAGAAGCATCTCTGAAGATGACAACGATGATAATGACAATTATGATGATGGTAATAATGGCGATGATGATGAGGATGACGATGATGATGATGAAGGTAGCTTTTACCTACCGAGTACCCTAGTAACAGTTCTGTTCTGCTATGATATACCCACATTTCTTAGTTGCACGAGCCAACCATCAAAATTTCCTATTTTAAAGTCTTTTTGGGCTGTTACCTGCATGGTTAGCAGGCTTGACAAAAGAAAGGTCGACTGAGTACATTGATGTCGACAATGGTGTAACATGCTTTCGGCTGCAAGAATCTTGAAAGCTTGGCAGCTACAACCACTGTACGAACAGTACGTGGTTCTTACAGCTGAGTGCGAAAGATACGGCCACAATTTGGAAGCGATGACATTTTCAGTCAGTTCAGCAATTGGGTAGCTACGCATTGAAGCCGATACCTCTGATGCACGGGTAATTTGTCGATCAGAAGTCTATCATTTGTTTCTTTAGCTACTCATTTCCACAGACAGTCATCTGGCTATATCACTCGAAACCACAGAATAAATAGCTTAGTGACAACTTGCTGCAGTTCCTGATTATTTCATCGAGCTTCTTCTGTCAGCCACATATCGTCTTAGCTGAATGTGCTGAAATCGATGGGAGCCGTCTTTGTTGATCATTTCCCCCCACCGGTGCAATCAGCCCAAGTGGTTAGAGCTCGAGTTTACTGACCGGAAGGTCCGTGGTTCGAATCCGACCTCCGTCACTCGACTTCCCCTGTCTAGGCTTGGGCAACCTGGCAGTATCCCAGCCCTCGTGCTTCCTTCGGGTGGCATGGCAGCTAGGCACCGGAAGGGTGCTGAGCGTTTTCCTTTCCTTTCCTTTCCAGGCTTCACCCCGTCTTTGATGCATTTTTAGATTGTTCGATGTTTCGGCTAACTTCAACATGAATGAAAGCTTACAGCCTCCTGCGCTTCCATCCATTCACAACCCTTGTGTTTTCGCAACCAGAAGGTTACTGGTCAAGTCTGAATGTACCTTGGTTAGTTGCATAACTTCACTTTCTTTGCACATTCCTATCCTATTTAGTTTCTACTGAATTTTGCAGTTGTCTTAAGGATCATACTCATCAAATTTACTACACGCCATCATCACTTTCATCGTTACTGGCATCATCGATGAATTTGGTGGTTTTACTAAAAGAATCTAACTTGACTGTAAGGACTACCTATTAATCTAGGTATCTTTGGTTTTTGAACCCTTTCTCGAAAATGTCTACTATACTGGTTATGATGAACAGCTGTTTTTGATCTCTTTACTCTACAGATTCACTGAACACCAAAACATAAAGTTGGTGTCCACCGTAGATGTGAATTACGGAAAGAGAAGCCAAGACCGTTCGATAAATATAGACCTCACTTAAGAGAGTATGAGTGGTGTGGTCTTTAGTTATGATCATCTGATGTCATGGGCAAGAAAATTGGGCAGAATATCATATGTTTAGCTAATTGTAGATTAACAGATTGAATAGGCATCAAGGAAACATAATGGAGGCACAATGGAAATGGCCCTCTAAATCGGACCATAGAAAACGCTACCATTCTCGATACGTAGAGAGTGAAGCCAAAATGAATTTTTTCAGTATGAATTCAGTGAAGCAGAAACCTTCATCAAATTCACCTCAGAAAGAGATACCAATGGCGATGTCCATTTATCAGGTGCCGGCATTGAAGGGCACCACATTGGTCTATTGAAGATTTACACGATGGGGTTAGTGCACCAACCCCGGCGGAGTCGTTCCCATGCCTTACTAACTGAGCAGAGAGAATCTTTCCTGATGAGCTAGTAAAACGGAAGCTGTTGCCGGTAGCATACCGTGAGACGATAGATTTTCTGGAAACTCCATTGCAGGGCACATGAACGGAGAAGAACTCAAAGGTTACTGTCATCCCAGTGTGGAAAAAAAATCCATGTACAATGGCCTTCCGTCCAGGGGTGATTTGGTGGTCAACGTGCTGACCAGAAGGCCTTACACCAGTCTGAAAAAAGTCTTCGCTGCCGCAACCCGTCCAGTTCGGGTCACATGCAAAAGTCTGCGTTCTTTTAGTTTCCGAGATAGAGTTTCAATGAGCTCCCAAAATATGTCATTATAATCCTTTCCTTGCTGTTGTGCAGGCACGCTAAGAATGACAAAACCCCATCCACCTCCGAAAAAGCTTCTGAAACTACGATGAGCTACACGCAATCCAGCCAAAGTTTTCGTTTAGAAGGCGTCTACAGTGACCGAGACCTATCGCCAAGTGGAGTAGCTATCCGGCTTTTTGTTCGTAAAACAACCCTGTTAGCGTGCTGGCCCAACAAAATCCGACTCACCTACACCAAAATCCGGTTTTGAACACAATCCCCATAAAAATGAAGAACAATGAGTATCCAGCTGACTTTATGGAACGTATGTCCCAGCCACCCAATCCAGATACAGCATTCACATTGAGGGTTGAACCAGCGGACACCTTGCGAAGTATTTAACCGCTCCACACTTCTGGAAGTATCCGTTGCACACTCTCAATCCACAACGTCAGCACCACTTTCCAAGTTGAAAACACACAGCAAAAACCTGGTTCGCAAGGAACAGCAGCTCACGGTCGACGGCCGTGCTAACTATATCTACATGATTGACTGTACCGATTGAGGTAACCAGCAGACAACTAAAGGTTCGAAACAACTACTATGAACGACCGGGCAGAAGGGTATGAAAGAGACTACTAAAAGTTTTGGCGCTCTTGGTGTGACTCGCCTTCCAGGATGGAGACCGCGTGATCACACGCTGAAAGATATGTCAGTAGTCTTCTTGTTGTCAGATTACCCGAATGAGTGTCTGGAGGTGCAAACACCTTGAAATGATTATAGTAAGCAAGCATGAAGTCCCCTGACCGTCAACTTTTATTCTCTTCTTCACAATAAAGTTTTTAAATAACTCAAGGTTGTGTGGCAGCGAAGCATCGGTAATGAACACTGATGATGGTAATGACTTGCTATCCACAAGACCCCTTCTTGATTTGGCAGGTTTGATCCGTTCACTCATCACACAATGTCTCATTAACCACACCGGACTACCTTGCACCGCAAATTAATCGTGAGTTCTGGTGTGGAGCGTGCATTTAATGTAACACACGAAGGCGCGTGCAAACGGCAGAACAAGACTCTCACATCAATCAGACCATAAGTGGGAATATGTTGACCAGTCTCAGGCTAGGCAACGTTTTACTGTCAGTCATTTGTTTCTTGATATAAGTTCATATCAGTTTGTCCGCTTTGTATTTACCAGGATTCTGACTATGGTCCCACAGGCTGCACTAACAACCACAGTTCAACTTGTTGCTGAATTGAACTAGATGTCTCCTGGTAGACACTCAATGCCATATCTTTCCGGTTTGCTGTTGTCTACTGTGTTCATTATAGTGTGTTAAATACTGTTGTCCTATTCTTTGCATCTGCACGAGTTAAAGAGATATCAGCAAAACATTCGTCCGCCCACGTTTGTTTTCGATCCAAGTGTACTTATACTGCTAAGTCAATCAACAGCTAAAATTCTTGATATAACATTGCCTGATGGGTTACTGGTCTGTCACACCGAGCTGACCAGGACTAGAAACTGCATCACAACAGCAACAGCAGTATATATTTGACGGTAACCTCAGTAGGATGTGCTAAGTGAATCCCGATCGATTTACAGATACGCTGAACCAAATTCCAGTTCAGATGGCTTGCGCTCCATACTACTAAACGGATCAAAACCTGGCCATTGCGCGCTGAGGAAGTCAGAAGACTTTCACTTTTTGACCATCGATTTCTTAGGAGCGTTACCTGAGTCCGGTGGGGACACCAGATCAACAATACTGAAGTATGTCGAATTGTATTCGGAAGAAATAACTGACCCTCGATAGATGAACTGATCACACTGCATAGGTTGCACTGGCTTGGCCACGTACTGCGTAAACCAGCCGACCGAATTCCCCGAAGGGTTCTTTTGGCACAACCACATGAAGGGTGAAAGAGAACCAGAGGCGGTCAAACAATGACTTGTCAGTGAAGCATTAAAGCCGTTACCAGCAAACTCAGCTGCGCTGGTCATTGCCGTTTTCCTGGATAGGGACCCGAGACGGGCCACATCAATGGTGGGAGACATTGTCAGACATGGCCCAGTTGCGCCTTCAGTGGCTCTCATTCATCCAAGCTATTGCCTTCAATGCATGGTTCCCTTTCCAATTCCCCCTACTTGACAATTCACTGGCACCAATTTATCGACTCCCTCCTCCAATGCTATCTACCCCACCTTCCCAATTTGTCGGTGAACGAAACTGTGGCAGCTACAACAACTATATGACAAGTGCGCGGTTCTGACAGCTGACACTGAAACTTGTGTTTTGAAATGCTGTGGCATCGTGAGTATGAGGACAGGTAGTGAGGGAGTTAAACTGTATTAAATGTTGAGTGCTTAGTGGTACACCACGTCATGACAAGTTCGTCATTAGTTCTTTCACTCCGAACGAGTGCTCATGTGGAATTCGTGAAAAGTTTGTGGTCCAATGCAAGAAAAGCCAATACAATAATGCTGCGCAGTGGTATAAGATAATGTCATTTCGTGATATTAATATAACTTCATATGAGTTGTGGATCGACAATAAAACTCACGTCATTTGAAATCCCAATCAGAGTGCCTCCGTAACCATTTTGCAATATGCTCATAAAGCGATAGAGTGAATTCCGCAAAGCATACAGATCTTGAAGCGGCACCCGAAAAATTAATAACGCACCTGGCATAGTATCATAGTAGTCCCAGAATCACTTTACCGTCAAGGCCAATGTATTCAATCGATAAATTTCAATTTCTCTCTCTCTCGCTCTATGTCAGCATGCAGACATTCAGAATGGGAGGATTTCTCTCTCAAGGGTCACTCAGGAGAATAAGCAAGATTGTTTCACTTGAAAACTTGGTTGCTTTCCGATAAGACCATCAGAAGTGGAAAACTGGTCGTGAGCAGTTTTTCTGTATCATCCATTTTACCGTTGAGCCACACTAGAGGAAGGTTAGAACTTGGCGAAAGCAACCACGTGATTAGCTCGTAAGGGTGCCCTTCAAATTTATTGATTACTCACAGGATCAGCCTAGGGTCATTTATTTTCTGTGCCAATGTGCATTCGTTACTATGACCGATTGACAATTAAGCTCGCTGACAAAGAAATCAGTAGTAGCTACACTTATCAAGTAGTTAGATCGGAAAGAAAATGCCCGTCCCAACTTTTGATTTGCTACGGGATTCTGTCTGAAGCTTTCTGCTGTCGGAGAACGATTGGGTTAGTGTTTAACTCGGTGGTTGGAAATTCGAAAGGTCAGACAGCATGGAAACGCCTCTTCCGATCG